TAATTTAATTGAATTACTAATTAAGGTAACTCATACCCGGCCACAGCGCTCGGGCGGCCATTCCCGGCATAACCAACAGATAAAATGGTGAAATCTTAATGAATGAACACAGAGTACAGCCGGCCTTCGCGTGTGAGTAACTCCTGGCCGACAGCGCTCTTTGCACTATAACCTGATTGAAATAATAATACCAATAATTAGTACATTTAGGTTAAATAAATGTAATTATAATATGTACTTGGTCAGAGCACCAGTACCATACGGCCGATATGGTAATGCCAAACACCATACCTGTCCAGGGAAGGTCCACATCATCCCAGGGTCTCAACAAATTCCTATAATAGGGTGTAATAGCACTACACGACTGGTTAGTGCTGTTATCAATGATAATATAGTGTGGATTTTTGGATTCACCCCGAGTCCTGAAATTGTCCATTAATTCATTATAACCGCTCGGATTATTGTACTCTCTTCCCACTTCATTCAAACCTATTATAATTAAATTTAGTTTAACTCACTTAAACCTTATTGATTATTGATTGGTAATGTTGTGTAATTACTTAATATAGTGAGCACAAGTGCGCCGATAACCATAAGAAATGTTTGAACAGTGTCCGTCCAAATAACCTGAAATTGGGTTATATTGTATATAATTTTATTTATTTATTTATAAATCATTTAACACATACTGTAGTTAGACCTCCAGCCATAGTGAAGACGGCCGATATGGCCAGTAGTATCACAACCGACACATACATGTTTAGACCCAATGATTGTTTGATGAAAAGGGCTCCCGCGTAGAGATCAGCCTAATTATAATTTAATAAATGGTTTATAAATTATAATGTTTAGTGTACATTAAACTATAGTTAAGTTCATAATGGTTAATAAATAAAACTAACAGATATTTTGGTGAAGATGTAGAGCAATAGGGCCAACACTGACATATATATACGGATCCGTTGGCCACCAAATCGTTTTCTTAGATATTCAGGCATTGTGCTCACCTAATGGCACAGTTATATCATGTTATATTGTCTAATAATTTGGTAAATCAATAAGACTTACTCCGGAAGCAATATAAACTGGTAGAAAAAAGTAAGCCAACACTAGCAATACGAAAAGTGCCTGTTAAAAATATAATTTGGTCATTTTTATAACAACTGTCTAACAATGTTATTTATAAAATATTATTTTGCGTACATTTAATTCAAAGGCTGCGATGGATAGGCCAGAGCTGGCACCAGAACCGGCCAGTCCTACAAACGAACCGCTGCCCACATTACTGGAGAATAAGGAGGCGCCCACCTATTCATTACACATGATTAGTTTAATACAGATATGTATATAAAACAGTGGCTAAACCGACGGGAATCCAATGCATACTCCTGTTGGCCAAGAAGTAACCGTCCACTGAATCGCCTTTACTTTTTCTCGAAGACTTTATTAAATAAATAGTTTAATAAAATTAATATTTATTACAATTTAAGTAAACATGGTAAATAAGATAATATCATATTATGATACAGCGTGAGCCACCGATGGTCTTAAGCTCCGCCCATAAAAATAACCAATCACAGCAAAGTAGACTCTGGATTTTGCATTGTGACACTCAAAGCGAACTCAAAACAGCGCATGTTTAAAGTTATATTTATGGGCGGAGCTTAAGACCGTCCATGGCTCACGCTGTATATACCCAGAATCCTACGCCCAAAATGCTGATAAAATATAATGCAATGACGAGATAGTCGGGCCATTCAATGTGTACGGAGCCGTCCGATAGACCTAATGATGGCTCAGTTGTCGCCGCATAGGTATCGGCGGTCATGTCTATAGATTAATGTACCGAAAGAGGTCTTGTAATTGAAACTAATAATTAATATTTGGTTTTCAATGACACACTTTTGTTGAACGCAAAACATATAATGATATTTGAATTAATTTTTAAGGTAAGAGATTCTGTTACAATAAGTTACTAAATTGTGTTTTTACAATATTTATACTATTGTTAGCCTAAAGTTTGAGATGAATGTCTGATTGAGCTCACCATTAAAGTGATGTTTGATAATAAGTTTATGACTGCTATTAAAAACATTTACAAGTTTATAACTGAAAAGTTATTATTTGGAAAAATTTGTATTGTTTTGCCGCAAAGTTGGGTATCCTTTGTTATAATCAGTTTTGTTTGCAAACAATTATAATTGAATTTTTATATTAATAAATCTATTTAAATAATTAAAATGTGATTTAAAACTAAAATTGTCCATCAATTTAAGAACTATTATTTAGCAATTGTTTCTTACAATTGAATTGAATAACAAAATGAGCAAATAATTTAAATTTTATTTTTTAATTAATACACTTTGAGAAATTACTTTATTCATAAAAGTATACTTAAATGTTTGCAAATCTGTAATAATTAAACAACTAATAAATGGCGTTAAATGTCAAGACCTAGAAAAATGACAATCGATGGAAATAACGCCCAAAAATCAAAATCATTACAATAAGAAAGACAAGTAAGGATACGGCAATCATCACATCCGCCAGTGTTTTCCAATGTATATAGTCTTCCCACAAGATTCTGTTTGCGAAGTTTTGGAGATATTGTTTGGCCACTTCTATGCCCTCTTCTCTGCAGTCTTTAGTCGCGTCGCCGTCTATGACGTTGAGTACACACGAGAGGAGTGAGCGATACACTAAACCCATCTACAGGTATTGGCATATATGACAAATGGTGTCAAATCACTAGACATACCATACCTTCTGATTGGTATCCTTTATACCTTTGCGGGCAATTTCCCGGTTGAAGCCTCTCTCGCAGTAATCGGTGAGCGTGGGTCGGATTCTTGCCAAACATCTTTCCTGTGCTTTCTCTTTAAAATACTCTCTGGACTGAGCGTTGCATTCATTGAATGAATACATGCATAATATAAAGACAGAGAGTGATAGACATTCAATAAAACCCATTGTGTTGACCATCTATTGGGTTTATTACAATCTGAGTACTGGTATTATTATCAAACAATATTAGAAATACAAATTACAATGATTTATCTCATAAAACTATTAAATTTACATATTTAGTCATAAATATCATGAACAAATACGTATACTATTTGTAGATTAATGTATTTATGAGATGTTTCTTACTTTTATTTCTGTATGTAGAATTAATCTGTATTAATACTATTTTATTAATTATTAATCATGCTGCAATTATCAAATTACTAGCGAATTTAATATATTATTCTAATATTATTAAACTAGAAAAAATTATAAAATATTATTTATCAAAAACATATGCCTTTCCATTAGACTCTAATGATTAGAGTTAAGTATACTTTGTTATAATCAGTTTTGTTTGCAAACAATTATAATTGAATTTTTACTTTAATAAATCTATTTAAATAATTAAAATGTAATTTGAAACTAAAATTGTCCATCAATTTAAAAACTATTATTTAGCAATCGTTTGTTACAATTGAATTGAATAACAAAATGTGCAAATAATTTAAATTTTATTTTTTAATTCATACACTTCGAGAAATTACTTTATTCATAAAAGTATAATCAAATATTTGCAAATCTGTAATAATTGAACAATTAATAAATGACG